TTTTCACTGTTACCATCTCTACCAATATGTCTGTTATAGTAACCTTTTGCTATGCCCCAAATTAACTCAATAGGGTTAAATATACAATGGTAAGGAGGCAGACGAAGAACTTTGTGCCCATGTTGTTCCGCCAATTCATCAATCACGTATATTTTAGGTGGTTTGTTTCTAAAAAGGAAGTTATTTTAAGAATAGGAATAAACAAAAGAAATATAAACTGTCGACCAAAATATATATAATTAAGAAGCATTATGTACCGAGCAACAATACTCAATAGCTCTGTTTTAAACATTGTGTTTAAAAATGGTATGTTTTGATTTGTCAACCAGTCTTGGATATTTTTTTTGTCCATGCATTGTTGGGCACTTTGTTCAATATCAAGCTGTGATAAGGGGCGTTATCCAGTATAATCATAGATGGACTCTCCAATTTTTCTAATAACTGATGTTGAAACCATTTCAAAAAATTGTCCTGGTTCATCTCTCCATGGTAATCGCTCAATTTTGTTTTCGAAGAAAATATCGCTTCACTACCCTCAATAAACCCATTTTCATTTCCAGCATGTAATATAATGTATCTAAAATATATTAGTTTTAAATTTTATAGTGCAAATTGTGTAAAAGTACATACCTTTTACCATCTGTTTTAATAGCTTTCACGCTTTTTTGGTTTCCATTTTGCCAAGAGCGACCTATGGTCCCATTTTGAAATATCCAAGTTTCATCGAGGAAGACAAACTGGTATAAGGCCTCAACCTTGGCTTGATTGTATTGCCTTAGAAATTCCACCCTTTTCAAAGCTATACTTGGTAGTTCCATGAGCCCTCGTCGCGGATTGTCCTTAAGCCACTTAAATCCAAGATCTCTAAGCAACCGCCTTAAAGACGTGGCACTACCATCAAATAATGCCCTATCTCTTAATCGAGACCATAAAGTTTGTATCGTAACTTGTTCTTCTGAAACCATGTGTAATATGACATTATAATTTAGTTAACAAATTAATGCAAATTTCTGATAAGTTATTATAATAAGATCTTACTTTTGTGATACATATTATAGATCACTTCTCGAATGGCACTTGTATCCAATGTCGCTGTGTTGGTTACACGTTTAATATAACTCCGCTTTTTCTTGGGCGATTCTAAATTTGCATCACTTTTCACACCCTCGGAAATACGACTAACTGTCCTTGAACTAATTTTTAAAGCAGCAGCAACACGCTACAAAAATGAAATAAAATTTCACTATTATTAATATACATTACATATAATTATTAGTAACCTACCTCTTGAACAGCATTTAAAGGCAACAAAGGCCCGTTGTTGTCCCTTTCTTGCTCAAAGTAGTGCATTAACGAGGCCACGAGTTCCTTACACCGACTATTTAACTGTTTGGGCATCTTTATATACCAAAATTGCCTTTATCTACTCGTAAAATGAATAATTTTGTTTTGAAACAAACAGTTGTTGATTTACAGTATGCGGGGCCAAAGGATTTATAAAGATTTGAAATGCCACAAATTGATTCAGTGTCAAAATTAATACAAATGTCAGTTCCCAGTTTAAATAAGTTTCAAGGTGACAATGTGTCAACGCTGCGAAATCGGTTTAGTGCGTTTACATGTCGATAAGTGATTGGAGCGTTTGCAAAACATTTTATTTCGCATAATGCGTCTAAATTTATCAGAAAGCAACTTATGTGATATTTTAATAACAATGTTTATATGACTATTAACCATAATAAGAGAGTAATGACCATTTTACAATTTATATATCACATTAATATGAAACTGCAATAGAGCAATTGTTTGTGATAGAAACCTAGGCATTAGGTCGGAGAATTTTTATCGTGATGACGTGCACGCCACTTTGTTTGGCGTTGACTATACGTTTTTTAGTTGTATGTCTCCGTCTCGAAAACTTTCTCGTTACGTATGAGTGCCCTTCAGTCATATTTGTCAGAGTGACAACTTACTTGACATCGGCTGACAATTTATGTTGCCCTTTTATCAATATTCAATATAAAATTGTACAATGCAGGAAATACGATCAATGGAGAAGGCCGACAGCTCATGCTAAAGTATTTCAAGAAAGAGAATGAAAACAGTGCTCCCCTGTTACCCACTTCATGCGTACTGGAGAGTAGCAGACGCGCTGAAGCTTAAAATCCGCCCATGGTGCGGTGATTCGATCTGTTTACTTATTTCATATGACGTTGATGACGTAACCGCCAAGAATGGTGACTACAACTATAGATTGTTCCACAATTTCGAAACCCTCGAGACAAATGAGCGGTCATATCGGTCAGTTCTGCATGTACCAAGTTCGACAAGGTTAGGATAGGCGGCCTGTCTGGCAGGCACATCGTGCGGTGGCATCATGTTTGTATTATATTTCCTTAGATTTTGCCAATAGTATAATTGTCTCTTTAACTATTTCAATAATCTCATTTTGGTCTGTGACCATTTTTTGTACTCTTTCCAAGATTTCAATATTTGACCTTTGGTTTAAGGAATTTTATTGTATCGGCTTTGAAATTGTTTTTTGATAATTGCACATTAATCCGCTGTTTATTTGTATGGAACTTGCTAATTATTGGATCAGCTGGCTCGAAGTTTATTTCGGAAATAATAATTTAATTTTTTCCATAATTTACTGCTATATCACTAATTGTAATATGTATCAATTGAGGGATTTTCAATTATTATAACGGACAGTGTGTCCTGATTAAACATTATCATTTTCATCAATTTTATCTAAGTCGTTAAGTTGAGGTGCAATTGAATGATTATATCGGTCTGATTACGAATATTCTAAACAATCGTTTGATTTGCGTTTGCTTTACACATTCGATATACAATGTCAAAATCATGTTCATATAGCCTTTAAGGCCATCTTAATAACTTTGCGCTAGCGTCTTTAACTGAATATAACCATTGGGGCTTTCATGATGTCACAATAGTAAATTAATGCCCGAAAATATAAGGACTGAAATATTTTACTGCATAGACAATCGCTAATAATTATTTGTCTTCTTCTTTTCACTTAAGGTTCATGAGTCGTGAGCCGTATGCTTATTGGCAAGTCTGTGCCTTATTTTTGATTGTAATAAAACTGCCCCGATTGCATAATTAGTTGCTTCAGTAGTCATCAAAAATGGTTTTGAAAAATCAGGATAATGAAGTATCGGATCATTTGTTAATGAAGTTTTACAAAGTTCAAAACATTTTACATAATCTGGATCTGCGGTACTAATAATTGCATCCTTTTTCAATCGAATAGTCAATGGCTAGTGATTTTGCAAAATCTTTTATAAATTTACGGTAGTAACCTAACAGTCCAAGGAAGCCTGTTTTTGCTTTTTAGTTTTTGGTTTTTTAAATTCTGTAATCGTTTTAGTTTTATCTGGGTTTGGATTTACACCATCAGCTGTTACAACATGCCCTAAATTAATATGAAACTTATTTCCTAAGAAACTCAAATTTATCTAATTATATATCATATTTTTTAAAATTTGACTGACGTAGTCATACGTAAGTCGAGAAATGTGTTCTTGCAAGCTAATAATGAATATTATTATTTTGTCTAAATATACTAGGCATTTTTCATTTTGAATTCCTCTTAATATGTTGTCCATTACGCACTGGAAAGTCGCTGGTGCGTTTTTCAATCCAATCTGCATTCCTGTCAATTCGTAATGTCCGTTTTCTGTACTAGAGGCTGTTTTTTAATATCTTCTTCTGTCATTTCTATCTTATGGCATCCTGCAGCTAAGCCCTAATTGGTCTAATAAGGCTGTTATATTGGGAAGAGGGTAACGGTTTCCTAAAGTTATCGCATTTAATTTCCTATAATCTATGACTGTTCTATAACATTGACTAAATTTGTCTTTGTACTTCTTTTTTATGGATTTCAGGATATCTATAAAATCTAGTGTAAATAGAAATTTCGTCAGTTGTAGGTATATGATAGTTAATTTTGCTCGAAAAAGTTAAGTAATTTCCATCTATGTGTTTCGTTAGAGTTCATGTGCGCAGTCCAAATTTTGGAAATATCGAATTTAAATCTTTGAAAGTTCAAGGAATTAATATTCGGTGGATCAGAATTAACTGCAAATTCATAATCTTCAAAATTTTCTACATCAGTTGGTTGAGTTATGTCAAGAGAAATCTATTCCCCAGATAAATTTAATACTGCAAATTGCTTCGTGATTTTTCTTGATGATATTGCAAAGGTATCTGCGCTGTAGGCGTAATTAAAAGATCGTTATTTAAATCAATGTTGGAGTTCAGTGTATCCTTCAGATTATCGGTCCTAAAAGACATTGGAAATGTTCGTGGAATTTGAATTAATAAAATTTTTTTTAAGAATTTTTGGATTCTTAAAGATTTTTGAACAAGGTATTCTCATACTATATTGTTCGATGATGAACCATGTGCTGAAGTGATTTGAAATGGATCTTTCTTAATATGTCTTGGGGATAATTTTTTGTCAATTTGGGGATGTATAAAAGTCTTATGGACGTATGGACAGTCGTTCCTACAATAATTGTAGGACGCCTTTATGGTCTTTGATTTTCATTACTTGTGCTTTGCTTCAGAAAGGCAAGTGTGTGGGCATCATTATTGATCACGGATCGATTATTCTTAGATTTCAATCGTGTCAGCTATTTTGAGGTAAGGTTATGTGTTTATACGTTTAAATAATTTTAGACTGATGAAACAAATGCAAAAGCATATTATCAAATAATGCCGATCAGTCAGTAATATTTTCCTACATTGAACAAATTCCACAAGATGTGATTTCTTCAATAAATTGTTGGATTGGGAAAATCGCATATCTGGTAGAAATGGTCTGAAAATGAACAATTTAATGCAAATGGATATGTATTTATATATAAAAGCCCACGAGCTTACAAGCAAGCGGTTCCCTTGATGAATGTAGGTAAGTTATAAGATTAATGAGTGCATATTCATATGTATATACTTACCGCATTTTTTTCAGATGTTATTCATTATCACAGTCTTTATGAGAAGTTAGTTCCACTATGGATAAAAACATTGTATACCAAGTGCAATTGCATTTTTGATGTCAGAGATTCCTGTTCACAAATCAATTTTGGACTCTGGATTGTGTAGAGTGTTAGGTTACAAGTATGTATTATCTGTAAATGTGTGTTTGTGAAGATCATAATTACCATGGACCATCATTATTTCAGGATGTTCAAAATACCACGGTCATGTAGGATTAGCAAATATGAAGTATTACAGGTAGTAAACAGAAAAATAGAGTTGCAGCATGAAGTAAAATCAGAAAAACTTTATGATATAAAATTCCACAATTGATAATAATAGCCTTTATTTAACCTGGCGGGTTTCAGCTAAAAGCTGATTTTCATTCCAACCTGGGCCAAACAAAATTAATTACAATACAAAGTTTGGAGAAATATAAACAATGTGAATATATAACAAAAATAATAAACCTATTAAGAATAACTCACAACTAACACCGATATGCTAAAATTCACATGTGGAGATTAAGAATAAGTATAAAGTTGTGTTAAAAAAATAAAGTAGAATAAAAATATGGAAAATTTTAATTCCGACCCAAAAAATCACATATAGTCACAGGTAACAGAACACCATTACAGAAGTTGAAAACTAGACAATATAAAGAACTATGACATATTTTCAAAAACAAAGTTTTTTACTTTTGACTTAAAATGTGACACTGATAAAACTTGAAAGCTGACAGGAAGCTTATTATAGAGATAGGGCGTAACAAAAGAGAAAAACTTTTGTTAAAAAGGCTGGTTCTATGATAGGGCGAGTTATGGGTAAATGCTACGAATCAAGCATAAAGCGTGAATCAACCACCTCTGCCTCATCGTGAACCAACTCACTTCTTGAATGAACTCTATTACCTTCGGCTTGAGTCAAACAAGGACCAAACACACAACTCCCAGGTTATATCTTACTTAAAATGTCTGAATCGCAAAGCTTAATTTTAGTATCTCGAGACAACACTTGCTTAAAGCTGTAGATGCTTTTTAGTTTAGAAAACATTTTTGAAAAATCTTAGAAATATGGTCATGAAAAGTTAAACGCTCATCAAAAATTATTCCCAAGTTTATTACCGATGTTTTGTGTGCAAGCTCTTCATTATTGAGACATAGCTTTATAGCATCTCCACTGACCTGGTTCTGCTTAGAGCGGAGGGTAATTATGGCCGATTTGTTACAGTTTATGTGTAACCCGTGGTCTCTAAACCAATCGCAAACGCCGCCTAGATCTACTGCTAGTTTTTCATTAGCATCAATAATGAGGAGGGATCGTAAGATAGATAAAGCTGCGTTTCATCAGCATAAGAATGTAAGGCGCAATGTTCAACCGGCCGATCCAAGTCCGACACGTATAAAGTAAATACATTGGTCCTAAAATGGAACCTTGCGGCATCCCCTTTATAATGACTCGTTTGTCAGAATAGTCACTGCCAATTTTGACTTGTTGAAATTGATCTGACAGATGATTCTCAAACCATACAATCGAGTTCTCAGAAAAACCAAGAAAGTGCAACTTAGCTGGTTTAAACAGTCAAATGCCTTTCTCAAATTCAGCAAAACAGTTATAGGTACTCAGGAACTATCTATAGCTATCAAGTAGTCATCACAAATGTCAGCTAATGCAGTGACAGTACTATGATTTTGTCTAAATCCCGACTGCATATTTGGAATTAAACTATTTATTGATGTGTATTTGCTCATAAACGATCTTTTCTAGAATTTTTGACAAGAATGAAAGTATGCTCATATCCCTGAAATCGCAAGGCATTTGGGGATTATCGATTTCACCAACGGGAAAAACAGTAACAAACTTAAACTGAAGTTGGTCATTGATATTTGGTAGCATGTTGGTGTTATAGTACTCTAAAGAGTGTTTCATTTATTGAATTACCGCGAACAGAATCGATAAAACAGTTATTTCAAAAGTTGTGTTGCAAAGTACAGTGATTAGTCTTACCCTTAGAGCCATAAATCCCTATCTCCCTAGCCTCTGTATAGCTTTCCACCAGTTTCGAGAACTGTTGCTTTTTCTTAGCTGGTATTCAATATTTGTATATGCTTTTTTTCGCGCCTAATTGATGCCGTGACTAGATTCCTTAAGTGTTTTTGTAGATCCATCTGGCAGTTTTTATTTCGTCAAAAAAATTGTTCTTAACAGTTTTCTTAAACTTAGAATAGGCATTGTTGCGTAATCGCATCATGAATTTGATGTGTAATCCAGGGACAACGTACTTTAGATATCTTACTGGTTTTGATTGGTGCCCATATATTTAACAGATCGTCAATAAGGCTGTAAAAATATTGCAGTTTTGATTCAATGTCATCATAGTCAATAACACCGAGCCAGTACATATTAGACGCTACCTCATTTAAAAGAGTCTTATCAATATTTCTTAAATTACGGGCTTGTACATCTTTTGTATGGCTAACGGCTGGTTCACATTCAATACAAAAATAAACTAGATAGTGATCAGACACCGCAGGAAGATTTACAACTCCTTTCTTAGCAATCTTAACTTCATCATTAACGAAAACGACGTCTATTAAAGTACTACTGTTATTAGTGACCCTGGTTTCAATATTTGCATATGCTTTTTTCGCGCCTAATAGATGATGTGACTAGATTCCTTAATTCTTCATGGTAGATCCATCTGTCAGTTCTTATTTCGTTTGAAAAATCGTTCTTAACAGTTTTCTTAAACTTAGAATAGGCATTTTGCGTAACCGCATCATTAATTTGATGTTGTGTGTAATCCAGGAACAACGTGCTTTATATATCTTCCTGGTTTTGATTGGTGCGCATATATTTAGCAGATCGTCAATAAGGCTGTAAAAATATTGCAGTTTTGAATCAATGACATCATAGTCAATAACACCTAGCCAGTACATATTAGACACTACCTCATTTAAGGGAGACTCATCAATATTCCTTAAATTACGGGTTTGTACATATTTTGTATGGCTAAGGACCGTATCGTCAGTCGTCCCTACTATTATAGGGCTCGTTTATGGCCTTCTTGATTTCGATAATATTATGTCTTCTTCGTTAACGTACATGTATGTCCTCCTTTTGATTTCCGAAATACTGTCAGTTCTGGCTTGAGGTTGTTTTGACGTTCAAGACACATGACAGCAGAACCATAATTAATTTATAATTTTCTTGCAAATAATATCAGTCACTCAAAAATACCTCGCTACATTGAACAAATTCCACCACCTGTGGTATCTTCAAGAAATTGTTGAGTTAGAAAAATGAATGCACATGCATAGATTATATTATAATATTATATTTGCGTGTATAAAAGTCCAGAAGCTTACAACCAAGCTGTTCTCTTGATGAAGGTTGGTGAGTTACAAAAAAAATCATTGGATATTCATATTATATACTTATTGCATTATTTTCAGGTGTAATTCATTCAAACATACTTTACAAGAAGTTGGTTCCTCCATGGATAACAAACATATCCCAAATGCAGTTGCACTGTTGATGTCAAGATGCCTGTTCACAAATCATTACTGGACTCTATGTGAAGTGTCAAGCTACAAATATGTACAATGTGTGTATGTGAAGATCGTAAATCCTATTTATCATTGTTATTTCAGGATGCTTGAAATACCATATCCATGTAGGATCACCAAATATGAAGTATTACAGGGAGTAAACACAGTTGTAGTATTGTAGTATAAATTTAAATCAGAAAAACTTCATGACATAAAATTCCACAATTAATTACAAATGGAAAAATATAAGAAACTTCTGACTCATCCAGGGAATCACTTTTCTGTTAATCAAATTTCAAACACTTTAAAGGTCTAGATAAGCAGAAAAAACCCATTATTTTGAAAAGTGTACCTCAAAGTCAGGCAAGGTTAAGCCCCAATAAGTGTGATAATAAGGTAATTGCGTTTCAGATAATTTGTCTTGTATTGTATCATATGCGACTTAACATATAAAGTTAAGTAAATTTGCTTATCTTACCTGGCTCTGAGATACAAAATTTCATTTGAATTTAAACTTCATGGTATAAATTGTGGTTTTAAATTATTATTTATAATTGAGTCTCCAGCTACTGAGGATACCAAAAAAATACATCAGCGGCAATAATAAGATTGATGCACTGAGCCTCAAAGAACAGTATGTTGTACTTTTTAAATGTGTTGCACCATATATTAGTGTTGTAGCATATTGTATAAGGGAAAAAAGTAAGGAAACTTAAAATTTTTCAATCATTTTATTAAGAAATTCAAATCGCAATACTGAAAGTTTTTAATTGATTTAGAACCCCAACTTAAAAGGGAAAATCTATCAAAAGTATGGCATGTGAAAGGAAAGCATTTTCGGGTTGAAAAAGAAATATCAAGAATTAAACTGGTTTGATATTTGAAACACTCATATGAAAAGCAGAGTTTGTTAGTTATGATAGAAACAGTAAAAAAATATTTGGGTCAAAAGTGTGCATTTACCTCTTGTAATACTAGGAGCTGCAATTCAGTGTGTTTCCTAATTGTACATGAGTGACGAGGCATTTTTAATTTCCACCAGTGATGCTATTAAGGAATTTCACCTGCTTATTTTGACAGGCAATAATGGTATGCCACTTATGTCTCTTTTATTAAAATTTTTAATCACATCCAAGAAAATTTATTCACTTGAATGTTTTTCAATCTGATGTACGGTTTTCATAAAAATATTGTTAATACGACAATATCACCATGCAGCGAAATAGTTTCTATTTTTTGGGTGGAAATCATAGGTCTTTCTAAAACAATTTTTTTCAAAAATATTGTTTATTTATACATAGTGACATTGTGATACTAACGATATTAGGATCATGCAAAGAAACAGTATTTTAATTTCATAAAATTTGCTCAGAAATCACTGCTGATTTTAAGAGCATTTTTTGTTTTAAGAGAAATCAGTTGCCCACTATCATTGTCTGCCAAAATAGGCAAGTGAAATTCGTACGAACGCCACTGGTGGGAATTGCAAGAATGTGGCATTACAAATACCTCTTGATGTACATGTATGCCAAACTTTGATAAAGTATTTAAAGTGGTATTCCAGATCTTTACAAAAACTTTTATTAATTTTTGAAAAGTTTACCACTCTGTTTCTCAAAGGTCAAGAGATTTAGGATATACGTCATATGAAATATTCTTCTTAAAATGGACTCAAAGTTACCCCCTTAAATATAGACATTCAATTGGAAAACACCTTGTATATTTTATGTAAGTAAATTAAAAATGAATAAAGGTTATTGTGATACACTGTTGTAGTTTTTCATTTTTGGATATTGGTGATACTTACGTTTTGACATACTACGTACGAGTTCATTAACAATTTCATGTATTATACTTTTCAGATAGCAAGTATGTATGGAATGTAAATAAAAGCATCATTGGTAAAATCAATATTTATTTAGAAATATAATAGGTTCTTTCAGAAATATATGGAAATACAGATTTCATCAATTTGTAATTCTTCTTTTCTCTTAAAACAAATGTTTCATCATGATGTTAACAATATTGTTTGCTACTTTCAAAATTAGAAGCTCTACAAACAAAACACTGTGTGGACAAAAAAATTGAATATATCGACTCTTCTTTTTCCTCTAATAACGTGCCATACACTAGAATTATTCTGTCCTGCAACAGTGTCTTGTAGTCTCGGCTTCTCAGGATGGGATGTATCTTTGAGCAATGCAAGTAGACCATAGGATAGAGAACGTGAACCACGCAATCCTTTGTGAATCGAAAGCATTTTTGAAATTCTTGGTCCCTATAATGCTCCAGCGGATTCGACCTATCACGAATATACCTCCTTGGTAAATGAAGTAGAGGGGTTGAGGACCTCTGGGAGTGCTCACCCGATTCAAATAAATCACGTTCTGCCATTTTCACTTATATTTATCACTGCAATAAGCATACGATATAAAAAGCCGACTACAAATTTCAAATTTGAACTGATGTTAAAATCGGTTGACTCAAGAGCGAATGTAGAGGGGGCACAACGGGCTGAACAGGCCGATCAGGCCGATCTAAGAAACCGGTTATGCAAATGACAAGTTATATTTGCCCATCCCTACTACCTACTATTTTGATTCATGAATAGATATGGGAGGTTAAACTTTGTGGATTAAACTGCGTAAGGGATATATGTTTTCGTATGAAGCCAATCCGTTCTTTCTCGTCAGATAACCATTTGATTCATAACGTTCAATTCGACTCTCGGTGGAAGCATAAGTACCGAGCTTTAGGCAGTCAGGCTGGTGGAACATGTACCCAAAGGATTCACCCTCAACTTGAGCACCTGAATCTTGCTTTTGGATGTCTCAAAAACCTTTGACAACGTGTGGCATGCGGGTCTCTATAAACTAATACAAAATTGTTTCTCTTTTTCGCTTCTAACAACTACTAACATCCTGCATCGAAAAAAGTTTCAGATCAAATTTAACGTTTCCTCAAGGTTCGGTCCTAGAACCAATCCCTCACTCGCTTTTTACTCAACAACTGTGGTGTGAAGTCTACCTCTATGCTGACGATACTGCGCCAGTCAAGTACTGGTAATCTGGTTCACGTCAGATTACAAGATGCAAAGGAGGAAGTACTAGAGTGGGCGGAACGATGGCTGATTTGATTAAAGGTAATCATTCGAAAATATAGGTATTGTAGCAGAAAACGTCGCGGTCCCCACTCGAGGTTTCGGCAGACGGTAGTCGTATACAATGATAAAATTCTGTCATGAACCTCAGGGTCACCCTTGATAATGGCTTGACCTGGCAAAAACATACAGCAGCATTGGAAACAAAATTCCAAATTACTTTCCTCAACTATATCCCTTGATATGTAGCAAAGCAGTTTGAATAACAGTTATTATTCTTTTTTTAGTGTTTCTTTTTTCATACAATGTTTTTATTCTTCCTGGGCACAGTTTACATGGATTATCGCCTTTTATAATTAGAAAATAATTTGGAAAAAATTTATTTATGTTTCCTTACTAGCTTTGGCGTATAATATAGTTTACAACACGATCTAATAAATAAGAAACGTTCTTTGAGTTCTTCGAGTTCCAGCAGCCTCTTATGTATTTCATATGAAAATGGATTTTGCTCTTTAAAGAATCTGCCCCTTTATCCAAAGGTTGACAGTTGAATTCTATAAGTAAGAAAGTACTATCACAGGGATCGTCAAGCACCACTTTAATATGTTGTACAACACTGTCATGAAAGTAAAAATCTGGGACCTTATTGGAATCTATCAGACATCCTCTGCTTGTAAGCAGCCAACTATGTCTCTCAGTATTATCTTACCTTTATTTGCCAAAATAAACAGAAAAAGGTATTGTTTTTCCTCTGAAAAAGGTATATTGCAACAGATTATTTAATCGCAGTTCCTTTTTTTTCACATATACCAAATTCTGCTTTTTACATCAGTGCTGCTACTGGAAATTAAATTTCTTATCAATGTAAAGCTAGGCCTAGTTTTTTCTATTGATAGCTCACCAGATTGGTTTTATTGTTTTTAACTATATGGTTATATTTTTGTCTATTATTAATGCATGGCAGGGTTGAACTTCAAACCAAACTGAATTCATATACACAGAATATTCAAATATTTGAATTTGACAGTTTGAACTTGATTATATATTTTTGAATGGGTAAACAGGTTAGATTATTTCCAAAAAATAAGCATTTATCATTATCTCCATTAACCATACAAAGTTCTTTAGAAAACGTTGAAAATTGAAGTTCTCTGCAATTCGATTCAAGGCTTTGTTTTTGCCCTGAGGCTGACTGCATCATTTTTCTTATTCCCAACCACATTGCTATATTGTTTATGCTTTTGTTGTTTTGATGTATGGCAAGACAACATAGTTAACTCTGGAAGTAGGAGCAACCACTGTAGTGCTGTTGTTCTCATTAGTTGAAGAAATAATGGGTATCTGGTTTGATTGGCCCGTGTTGTCATTTTCATTATTGTTATTAGTGATTGGCAAAATATTCGGAGGAGAGATGAACAAGATTCTGTTAACCAAATACTTAGGATAGCCATTTTTGATAAATAAGACTGACTGTATTGCCATACATCAAAGAACTAACACCAAAATTGATCAGGCTGTATAATCCCTTTAATTGTCGTTTTGCTTGTAAATCAGTTCTCACAGTCAACAGTTTGTTGTCCAAAATGAAAGATAAGGTTCAGTTGCTTGATCCAACCAATACTGTCTATCGTATTAATTGCAACAACTGCAATTTAGTTTATATAGGCCAAACTTCTAGGTCGCTAAAAGGCAGGATAACGTCACACAAAATTGATGCCAGATTACATCCAGAAAGATGTGCTTTGGCGTCGCATATCAACAACACAGGTCACTCTATGAATTATGGCAGTATTGAGGTTCTTGATAAAGAAAAAAGACTCTCAAAACGCCTATTTTTAGAAATGCCCCACATTTTCATGACAGATCATTGCATGAATAAAAAGGCTGCTGTTAAGCAGCTCAGTGTCATTTATTCCTACCTGTTGAATTGCGAAAAGTTAGAACGGCTACATGTCCAAATTAATCCAACATCTTCACAAAATTAGAATAAATTTTCTCACTCACATCTTTTCAAGGTTGTATCAATATCACACATTCTTGCACTCAGATGAACCACACACTCTGTTCCAAAACAAGTTATTCCAGCATTTTAGTGAAGATTTACCGAGCGTCCCTCGTATACTTTATACCCAAAGTTGGACAGGGAGGTGCACATTTTCACGTTCCGTCGCGTCAATCACTTGTCTTCTGTCGACGCTTTACCGTTCCGTGCCTTTCCCCCTCTCCACGTGTAGCGGTAGTAAAAGGTTAGGGACTGCATTCCGATTTTTTCAACAAAATGTCTCCCCACGTGCAGTATTTTTAGCTTGTTCGGGTTTATTGATATAAAATTTTTATTTTTCTTAACTTTTAACGAAGGTATCTGTCGTTTTTTAACAAGCCCAAAGTCCCCGTCCTTTTGTTTTATACTGAAGACAAGTTCGATCTTCTCTACGTTCTTTCTGAAACACCTTGTGGCTGCAACCTCACCGACGAGTAAGTTGTCTGACATTTTAAATCTGTCTTCTTTGCTAGCATCACAATTGTGTTTTCAGAATCCTGATGATGGCTCCATAGAGAATGCCGAAAGCTTGATTTTATCGTCAAAAGAGTCAACTTTAGCCTAAAAGTTTTGCCAATTTTCCCAATTAACAAGTAATTGTATTTTGTACCCAACTAGTCGTTGGCTTTGGCAATGACTACTTCTCATATATACAGGGTGACTTTGAAGTTGAGTCATTAATTTTCAGATAATGATTGTAGAAGGAAGATAAACCAAAATATGTGTGTAAAAATAAAAAAAAATTAATTAAAATTTTTTTTACCTTGTTTTATAAAGTATCCTCCCGACAAGTATTTCAGTGCGGACCTGTATTTGATCGTGAGGTCTTGGAGCACCGGCATGCAGTCCCCTGTGAGGTCTTAAGTTACCTGATTCACGAGCCCGTTGTACTACATTAACAAAGGCACGAGGGGTTGGTTGCACTCGATTGGGAAACCGATCCGCATAAATATGTGCAATTTTTTATTTCGTTTGAGCCACGCAGCAAATACCACTATTCACTCACGCGTTACCGACTGACACAGACTGAATAAAAACATCGTGATCAGCGTTTCAAATTCTTTCGCTTTTTTGTTTCCGATGCGATGAACCGATAAGGCGGAGTATATCCGTTGTCGCCAAACACGAGCACATAATATTATTATTGAGACAGGGCGGTACTCAAACTTCTAAAGGGCTATAACTTTGTTACTTTAATTTTACCACAAAAATGTTAAAAGAAAAAACATTTCTTTTGATCAGATCTACTCACTGTTAAAATAAATGACAAATATCAGTCCTATTTAGTGTTTGACATTCCTTAAGCAGGGAATTGATTCCCAGTTTTCTTGTAATTAGTTGTGGAATTTTCTGCCATCATGGTACAAAGTAATGAAGAATTTAACTTCATGCTGCAACTCCATTTTCCTATTTACACCTTGTAATGTCTCATAATTGGTGCTCCTACATGCCCATGCTGTTTTTAATATCCTGAAATCATGATTGTCAATTTACCATGGACTCAATTTCAGAACCTTTACACATTATACATACTTGCTTAGCACAGCTTGTCTTCAAGTTCGTAAGTGTTAATTCTTATCATTATGACTATGATCATACAGGTTTATGTCAGGCTTTAATTAACAAATTGCAGTGGCACACATATCGGTCACATAAATCAAATTCACGTTTTGTTTCTGTAAGATTCCTTCAATTATGCCTGGATGCATAAACTCCTTCTTAGAAAGATCATTCACCTCCTTATCCTTGCAAAGTAAACAAAGCATTTTACTGAGGAACCAACTTCTTGTAAAGTCTGTTAGAATGAATTACACCTGAAAATAATGCGATAAGTATATAATATGGATATGCAATGATTTGTTTTGAAACTTACCAACCTCCATCAAGAGAATAGCTTGGTTGTATGCTTCTGGACTTTCATACACACAAATATAATATTATAATATAATATATCCATGTGCATTAATTTTCCTAACTCAACAATTTCTTGAAGATACCACAGGTGGTGGAATTTGTTCAATGTAGCGAGGTATTTTTGAGTGATCGATATTATTTTCAAGAAAATTATAAATTATGGTTCTGCTGTCATGTGTCTTGAACGTCAAAACAACCTCACGCCTAAAAAGCTGGTATCCCGGAATTTGTACAGTACTTTCAAAAACGTCCAGTTTAAGAAAAGTTTCTGTAAAACCAACTATGTCAAAGTTTTGAATGAGGACAGAGTAGCCCTCATATACCATGAAAAGAGCTAACTAGTGACCTAACATTGAGGCACCGTATCACTATATTATGCTCCTCTTTACCAATGACATCAAATTCACATAACAGAGACATAATGAAACAAGATGTAAGAATATAAAAAGAACGCAAAAAGAAATCAAAAAAGTATGACATAGAAAGATTAAAAAAAAATTGATAAAAAATGTGTTGTATGGGATAAAATGGAAGTAAATAATATACGTTAATAAAATAAGCCAAAGGATGTACTAGGAGTAGTTTGTTTTACTCCTTATAAACTTCTAAACACACACACTTGTTATCCCATACAGAGTGACGAGTATCATAGTTTTTACCAAGTTTATTATTGGCATTTATAAAATTTATACAACACAGTGAGTCATCATTGTCTTTGTTCGTATTTACCTGAGCAAACCGGACAAATAGTCTTGATTATAACAATTTTTTTGTATGTGTCCGTACTCACAAAACTTGAAACATCGAACTACACAAAAATGCTCTTAAACAAGACAACGGATCTATCGTATTCACCTATTATCGAATGGGCAGACTTAGGATCTAGCTCGGCAATAAGATCAAACTTGTCATTTTTAACTGGATATTTATATACATTTCTGAATAATGGGTCGTGTATATAGGATAAAACGCGGTTTTAGTTAACCACTTTGTCTCTAAACTCCACTGCACCTTCCTTGTAAGAGGCCCACTCCCAAGACACGAATACGGGGATTACGTTTTCTTGGTAAAGAGACAGAGCAACTATTCGACAATTGCCCCTCAATGGATGCCTTAACTTTTTTCAGCGATCGCTGATTATCACATTTTAATATAAATGTCGCCGTTGGTATTTACCTTATTTATCTGCACACCAACCTGTAGATCCTCTGGATTTATTTTGCTGACTAGTTTCTGCTTGAGGGACTCGCGTTTCTCATCTTTGCTGGTTTCACGAGCGCAGTAGGTGTTCCTCAGGCATAGTAAGTTTGACTGCATCGCTGTAACTGATATTTTGAACTACAGGAGCTTCCTTAGCCGCAACATTTCTTCCTTCCAACGTAGCTGTCAGCAATGCGATAGCTGAGTTCAACTCCTCTATCTTGGCATTCTGAGCAACAATTATCTTATGACAGGTATCCAGTTTTTTCTTCACATCCGTGAGGATATGAGCAAAACTGGCACAATCACCCACCGAACTCACAGAGCGCGATGTAGACCTTTTCGCATCTCCCGTACGATAGACACAAAGTGACAACATAGCACCGGATTCTTGCAGAATTCCAAGAGTAAAAAAACTGGAGCAAGCTGCTTGTTTATATTCCAAGAATCGTGGACAGTCCGGATTTTTACATAGTGGGATTGAGAAGCCCTTAAACAGTCATACGTGAAAGTTTCATATTTTTCCAAACACTTTTTCCCCTAAAATTCACTCAAACTTCGGCAAAATGTTCACAACCTCCACCGTTTCTGATGTAAGATGTAATTAATTACAAATGCGAAATTATAAGAAAAT